CTTTTCTCATTTAATCCTAACCAGATTTTACACTGAGATGTGTTACTGTCCCGGTTTTATAAATGAGAAAACTGACACTCAAAACGGTTCAGGAACTTGAGCAGGGACACGCACCACTGACAAGGACAAGATTCTAACCTAAATGTACCTGATACCAAATGCATTTTCAGGGGTCACCGTCTCATCTGGGGACTCCAGAGTCTGAACAAGCCACTTTATTTAGTTTTTAGAGTGGGCTCATTAGCTACTCTGTTCCCACACTCAACATGTAGCTCTTACCTTACTATAAATTTTACCATCTTTACGGAAAGAAAAATATTTGTTATAAAATCCACTCTACAAGACTTGGATTTTGGGATCTAAACAAGTTTTAGAACCTTAGAAATTCCTGTGGAAATATTACTAGAGCTCTCATATCCAGGAATTCCCTTATAAGGTCTTTATCCTCTATCCCCAGAATCATTTGAATTTCAAGATCATTTGAATTTATGTAAGGTCATGAATCATGAGAATTTGTTTTAGTAATTTTTATAATGGTGCAAATAGTAATACAAAGAAATTCTTTGGGTTAGTAGAATAACAAGAAATACAAAGAAATTTAAGGGTTAGCAGAATAACAAACCCTAGATTTTGGTTTTATTTGACTTGGACATAAATCCTATTTAGAATATTTATATACTTAGAAAAATAGGTATTTCTCTTCTGATTAGATACCCTTTGCCCTTACACTCCAAATTTGGTCACCAGAAACCAACTGTTCTTCAACTTCTATACATATAAAGAAACTTGAAGGATTTAATTCTAAATATACCGGATTCAGCTGATAATACTTCTCATTCTCCATAGTGTGATTTTAATAAATATTTTCATGCTAAAAGTCCATGATTTAAAAAATTAACCTAAGAATCCTTTCAAAATTTAATGGTAGGCTTTGGCCACAGGGAACACATGCACATATCAAGTCAAATAGTTTCCTTTTTCGTTTTAGGATAATCTAAAAACACAAAATAGTTAACATACTTGAAGCTAAACTGGCAAATGCCTCTATTTTACCCGACCAAGTCTAGGAGAGGTGCAATCAGTAAAACTGATTTATTTACCCACCACTAGAATGGTGAGGGACTTACCTGGTTGGCAAATTTGGAAAGACTAAGTGGGATGCAGAGCTCTCTCTAGACCCTGTTTCTGCCTGCAAGTTCCCACAGAAGGTTACACAGAAAGGAATTCTCGAAAAAATGACATGAATAAATTACATGAATACACTACAGTAGATGCAAGAACAAAATAAAAACAAATTTTAAAATATTGTATTTCATTACACAGCATTTCCTCACAAATGCTCAACCACATAACCCTGTTAATTTTGCCAGCATGTTCAGCCTAACAAGTGTAAAAAGCAACATAAGTGAGCCTGACGTTAAAGTTGATAACAGTACATATACTCAAACTCAGAAGTTCAACTAATTGCATTGGAAATTGAAAGTAAATTAGAAAGTCGTAAGCAAATTGCCAGTTATAAACACTTAACATATATCTTAGTTCTTTCTCTGTAATAAAAAAAATTTTATTTCTATGGTTTATCGTAAATGAAAAATAAGACGGGGAACTGGGCATTTTCTTCTTGGCACTTTAAAATAAAAACAATAAATAAATAAAGCTTCACTGAAGCTGTAGGTTGCCAGTGCTCATGAAAATAACTGATCCAAGGGCCATTAGTGGCTCATAAAATAAGAAAGCTCAATAAAATAATCATAACCTCACATGTTTATTTAGTTCTGAGACTTAAGTGATGGACCTTTGTACCTGACCATGCCTAGAGACAGTTTCATTACACACACACACACACACTCTCTCTCTCTCTCTCTCTAATTATGTAAACTCACAGACACACATTTATGGGACATCTATAATGCCATCATATCTTTCCTTTAGTAAACAACAAAGCGGTATTATTTAGTTTCCTTTACTAAATAAATCAGCCAAGCAATGGCTTTCTCTTTAAATTATAATTAGTTATAATTTGAAGCCTCTAAATTTCCTATGAATGGCAGATAAACCCAAGCCAGAAAGAAAGGTTCAACTAATATGAATATGTTATAACCCTCTGTAATTACATTTCTAGGTTTCTGAACTTGTTTTATCATTATCAAATTCATTTTAAGTAGTTTTTAAGGACAGGGAATCCAAAATTTTCATACAGTACTCACCTTCTTTCTAACTTCCTAACTTACCCATAATATGGAGAATGCTCAAAACTATGTAATCTCTCAAGTGACAGTAGTGTCTTAGACAAATTTAGGGTGAATAAAGCATATGTTTCTTACATGACAAATAAAATGTTTTCACACACTTAAAAAATATCTCTTATTAGTAACAAAAAAATTAGTAAAGCAATGCCATATCCTTGATTAAAATAGTTGTCCCTGGTCAACCTTCACTTTACAGAAAGCAATGTTTATTTATTTTTATTTTTTTAAGTTTATTTATTTATTTTCAGAGAGAGAGAGAAAGAGAGAGAGAGCAGGAGCAAGGAGGGGCAGAGAGAAAAAATCCCAAGCAGGTTCCACATGGTCAATGCAGAGCCCCACGTGGGGCTCGAACTATGAACCTTGAGATCATGAACAGAGCAGAAATAAAAAAGCGGAGGCTCAACAGACTGAGCCACCCAGGCACCCCTCTCTGGTATTTTAGAACAAGGGACTTCTCCTCCTTTCAATATATTCTCTTTAGCTAGAATCTTGATGTCTTCTCTAGATACATTTTTAGTCATGTCTAGGAGCATTCTCTATTGAGTCTCCCTACTTGACCACAGAGATTCTCACCTTCTTCCCATCTTAACAAAAATCTTGTCTTGACTCCACTGTCCTACTGTTTTTCTTTAATCTTACCCCCTCAGTTCTAAGAAATTGTTTGCTATTTGGGCTCCATGTCAACTTTTACATAGTTTTCTCTCTGGTCTCGCCAATTCCAATCACATTCACTCTTCCTGATGAATTAATCTTTCTAAAGCGTAGTTTGGTTAAATCCTTTTAGAGCGAAGTGTGGTGATAGTGGAAGGCAAAAAGGATTCCCAATGGTTCTTCAGCAGCTACAGAACCAAACTGATTCCTCTTCCTCTGGATAAATTTTATTTCATTTCACTATTCTTTTCACCTCTGATTTAACAAAACTGTAAAAGTCACTATTCTTCCACAAAACATTTACATGCCTGCCTCAAATTTTAGTATTCCCTTTGTCTAAAACAGCATTTTTCAAACATTTTTAATCATGACCTAAAGTGAGACATAAAATTGTGACCAAGTATACACACAATTAAACATATGTATGTCAGTATCACATATAAATCCAAAAAATGTCTTGACATAATGACACTCTGTAACTTTTTACATGTAAATCACGATCCACTGAACTTCTTTACCCAGTAATAAAGAGCAACCCACAGTTTGAACACCCTGATGTAGATTATCTACATCCCTAACCTTTTTCTAAATTTGATTCAATTATGTACTTCATTATGCCATCATTCATTTCATTCAAAAGAACAAGTAATAGGGGTGCCTGGGTGGCTCAGTTGGTTAAGCGTCTGACTTCAGCCTAGATCGTGATCTCACGGTTCGTGGGTTCAAGTCCCACATCGGGCTCTGTGCTGTTGGCTCAGAGCCTGCAGCCTGCTCGGATTCTGTCCCTCCCTCTCTCTCTGCCCGCTCCCTCCCCCCCAACTCACTCTCTGTCTCTCTCTCCTTCAAAAATAAATGTTAAAAACAAAATTTAAAAGAATAAGTAATAATGCCCTGTTGGAAGTCATGCATTTCTGTCAGCACTGGGAATAAAATATAAGCAAACAAATCCCTACCCTCATGGAGTTTGTAGAGTCCATCCCAAAAGACAGTGATCATCCATGCTCCTCTCTTCTTAAAATATTTACCTAATTTATCCATTTCATAGCTATATCATGCTACTTTACATTTCTTCATCTTTTTAATCTAAATCCTATCTGCACAAATAAACTATAATTTCCTTCAAGAGAGGAATCCCTTCTCCCCCCCCCCCCTTTTTTTTTAAAGTAGGCTTCAGGCCCAGTGTGGAGCCCAATATGGGGTTCTAACTCATAACCCCGAGATCAGAACCTAAGCCAAGAATAAGAGTCAGATGCTTAACTGACTGAGCCACCCAGGCCACTTAAGAAAGGAATCTTAATTACACATATTTGCACTCTGTACCTTCATTTAGTATGGGGAACAATGGGGTAAAGTAAGAACACAATGAGTTCTAGCCTTAGTGCACCACTTACCAGCTTTGCAATGGTGGGCCAGTCACTCAACTTCTCTCAAGTTCAGTTTCTTCATCTGTAAAATGAGGGGGTTGGGCTAGGCCAGTGGTTTTCAAATGCTACTGCAAAAAGTTTTCAGGATTCAGTGCAGGTTCCAAAGCATGAGAAGAAGGGTCTTCACTCAAAAAAGGGACATCAGGGCTTGGATCCCCTTCTCCTTCCTCAATTGCAGCTTACAATTCTGTTTGGAAAAAAGACAGGTCTCAGTGTTAAAAAAAGTTTTAATTATTAAATCTCCAGAGTTTGCAATCGTGTGCTCTACCTTCTCTGCCATACAAGTTGACGTGGGGGAAGAAGAATAAGGTAGGAGGAAATGAGGTAGGAAAGAGGCAGGAAAGAAGACAAAATACTTCTAATAGAGTTTATACACTACTGGGTTTCAAAAGTTGCTAGGAACAGTATATATGTTACTTTATTTTTTCTATTAAAAACTTCACAAGATAGGAATTATTAGGCTCATTTTACATATGAGAAAAATGAAGCTCAGGAAGGTTGGATAACTTGATCAGGTACTGATCAATTAAGAAGCAGGGAGGCCAAAATATTCTCTTTCCATTATCCCAAGCTACCCTTAAAAGAACCTAACAAGGACATTACATATGCCCTTTATTTTTATTTTTTTTGTTTTTTTGCTTTTCCTATATTTCACCTTAATCCTCACAACTTTGAGGAATATAGTTCTGCATTATTCTTATTTTGCCAATTAGGAAACCAAGGTTCTAAGAAATGAAAGTGACCTGCCCAATGGTAAAATAATTCAATGGGAGCAAGCATGGAGCACAATACCTGAATTCATATTCTGTGCTCTTTCCATACACCAAATTTTCTCCTTTAAAAGAAAGAAAGAAAAATAAGGAAACAGGAAGAGGGAAGGAGGCAGAATGGATGGCACAAGTGGACAATTATAACAATTCCACTGCTTACTTAAGAGAGCTAGTGAGTTAAATGAGATAATGAAAATGAGATCATGGAAAGCACCTTGAAAAATCTGAAATAATATCAGCCATTATTATTAATTATTCAAACAGTGTGCACTGACATTGACATTTTGTGTTTTTGTAAAATTCCATGTGGTAATTGCAAATATAAAAGAGCTATATAATGAATTAATTGCTTAGATATACTACAGAAACTCCTATAAAAGAAGGACGATCTGACACTCTTGAGATTATGATACAACAGTTGGTTATATATGCCTGCTTTCTGTTCATGATATACAATCCCTACCAGCAGCAGAATAATTCAAATTTTCAATTTTTCTTGAATTTCATCACAAACTCAATCAAAAGCATGGAAGTCAGTATTTTAATATCCTTGTACCATGTGAAAAATAATAGCATGCTCTACTACCTGAACTCTTAGAACATTTTTTATTTTGATTGTCTTCCCATTATACTGAGAGATTGTCAGGACCTTATCAGGAAGATCATCCAAACAAACTAGAACATTATTAAAGCTCCAGCAGAGCAGTAACTCACTGAGTGTATGAGTGATTAAAAGCCATACAGTTGTGACAAGGACCATAAGGAGATCAGACAAAAGAGTTACATGTCTTTTAAAAAGACCAGAATGATTTAACCCTTTGTATCTTTTACCAGCATTAAAGCTGCAGCATTATTTGATCAATATTAAAGCCTTATGTGACTGAATTCCTTATGGCAAATCACTTCCAAAGGTCAAAACCGAGAAACTGGATTAACGAACAATTACAACATAATTATTGCCTTGCCACAGTGCCAGCGTTCCAAAAAAATGATATTTAACATAACAATATATCCTGACATTAGTAAACACTACAACTTTTGGAATCTGTCATTGACTATAGTTAAACTTCTTTAGATTCACTGAGGTATTTGGGCTTAGAAACATATTCCCATTTCATTTAACATTCACAAAACTATTATTAAATGCTTCCTATCTGCCAGACGTTGCACTGTTCACTGGAAAAAAAGGCATAAACTGAGAATAGATGCTCCTTGGAGGAATGAGCAATCTAGCGTGAGAAAGAAACAGCTAAGTTAATTTTTACAATGGGATGCCACTGAAAAAATGCCTCTGCCATGTTGTTAAGTGAAGTAAACTGACCTTTAAAACCAAACAGTACCAAAACATTAACTGCATTCTCTTAAGCAGAGGAGAACAGTGATTATTAGACTTTATTTTCTGCTTTCTGGTTTTTGGAACAATTTTTTTTGTACACTTATAGTCAAAAGTAAAGGGTTCAAGAGAGAAATTCTTTAACGAATGTCTGGGGAGAATGCTGTAAAAATCCCAGGAGAAGACCACTACTGACTGAGAGTAAGACAAACCCTGGGAGCAAAAGTGACTTCTGAACTGTCTCTGGATAGTCAATGACAGTGTAGAAGACAGTGGATGACAGCTGTAGTACTGAGAGAATCATCTAGAAGAAGAAAAAGTTTTAAAGTCAGCTTTCCATACAGTTCGAGTGATGGATGAGGGAGAAGTGTGGGAAACTGAATGCTCCTCAGGAGAGAAAAATAAGGAGACCAAGCTGTCAAGGGCTTTAGATGCCAACCTAATGACATCTGGATTTTATCCTGTAGTCAATGGGAAGCCAGGGCTCTAGCAGTTGGGGCCTCTAAACCTAGGACACTCTCAGATTTCTCTTTTCTAAGATGTTTCTGACTCAAAAGTCTGTGAGGTAAAACTCTTGGTTGAGGATGAAAACTCCTAATGGAATAAAAATTGAGTCAGTAAGTTTGAAAGGTCCATTGAGTTGGAACTGACAGGACCTGTCCACCAAGTGCAGAGAGGGGTGAGAAGAAAGAAAAACCAACGGATAACTCAGAGAGAGCAGGATTAGGGCAAATGAAGAGTTAATGAAATCACTGGTGCATACTGAGGATTATTCAATGGACAGTTTGAACACAGGTTTTCTATCCAAGAGAAAGACTGAGGTCCTTTCTCCTCTGATTTTCATCACCGTTACAGTAAAGTAACTAATTATATATCACTAGCAAGTAAGTAATGCTTTTAATCTTTTTTTAATGTTTATTTATATATTTATTTATGAAAGAAAGAGACAGAGCGAGTGAGAGAGAGAGAGGGAGCAGGGAGAGGCAGAGAGGGAGAGAGAGGATCCCAAACAGGCCCACACTGTCAACATGGAGCCTGATGTGGGCCTGGAACTCATGGACCAAGAGATCATGACCAGAGCTGAAATCAAGAGTCGAATGCTTCACCAACTGAGCCACCCCAGCACCCCATGTTTTTAACCTTATAAGTGAAATTCTTTAAAAACAAAACAAAACAAAACAAAAACAAAAAAGCTTGGGTGCCTGGATGGCTTAGTTGATTAAGGGTCGGACTTCGGCTCAGGTCATGATCTCATGGTTCCTGGGTTCGGGCCCCACTTTCAGGCTCTGTGCTGACAGTTCAGTAGTCTACTTTGGATTCCGTGTCTCCCCCTCTCTTTGCCCCTCCCCTGCTCGTGCTCTGTCTCTCTCTGTCTCTCAAAAATGAGGAAGCATTAAAAAAAATTAAAGAAACAATTTTCTTAAATAAAAATGTTTTTAAAAAGTTTGAAGTTTCTAATAATGGCCAAACAAAAAATCATACACATCAAGAATACTCATACTTATATTCATATACTTTCCTTCTGATATAAACTGGGTTATTGTCCCCATCATTCAGTTTCTCTCACTAGGTTTAGACATCCACATCCTGTGCTAAGTAATTTTACAGTGCCTGCACTGTGGGTAGAATATACTTCCCTATCGCAGTAATGTTGAGCTTGGCCACGAAATTGCTTTGACTAATAGAATGTCAGTGGACATGATGTAACAGAAGCTTTAATTGTTTGCATGGCTTGGCTTGCTCTCTTGTGTACCTGTGATCTGTCACAAAAGGAATATGCCACTCTATCTACTGCTCCTTCAACTGCACCTCATACCTGAAATGTAGTCAGAAGCCTGCAGTATAGCCTAATCCTAAGGAGCCTCGCTTAGATCAGCCCTATTACACCCTTGAGAGTATGAAAATAAATAAAATAACAGTAAGACACTAAGCATTTTATGGCTTGTTGTTGTTGTTGTTATGCAGCATTACTGTAGCAACAGCTGACTACAACAGGTTTTCCCTTACCTCAGAGTAAAGGAAACAGAGGTGTGTGTTTTTTCCCTTAAGACTATGGTTTGCTATACAAGCATAATGTACTTGGTGGGTTTTTTTTAAATTTTTTAATGCTTATTTATTTATTTTTTTGATAGGGAGAGACAGCACGAACAAGGGAGGGGCAAAGACAGGAGACACAGAATCCAAAGCAGGTTCCAGGCTCCGAGTTGTCAGCACGGAGCCCGACGTGGGACTCCAACCCACGAACCGCGAGATCATGACCTGAGCGAAAGTCAGAGGCCTAACCGACTGAGCCACCCAGGTGCCCCAAGGCATAATATATTTGCAAAATGTATATATAATGCTTTGGTGCAGAAGACCTCAAAGTTGAAGATGGTATCGATAGATGACTCTATAAATCAAGGTTTTCAACTGTGCAAATTTATCAGTAAAGTTACAGTATATCAATGGAAATTCATGCATGATTTGTAGTGAATATTAATAAGCTCATTCTAAACAAAAGAATAAGAATATCCAAGACAATCTTGAAGACACTATTTTATTTGCTTTTATGCATGTATATTTAAAAATATTAAAATAAATAATGGAAATAATTATAGAACTAAAAAGAGATCTTAGAGATTAAACATATAATAACCAAAATGCAAAATGCATCAGAAGCCTAAAAAGTAAACAATAAAAATACTTCTTACATAAAAAATAAACGCAAAAAGAGAATGAAAATATGAAATAAAAGTCAGGAGACAAAACTAATCTGGGAGGTCCAACAAAATAAGAAAATGAAACAAAAATAAGAAAATGAAAACAAAGAAATAGGAAAGAAAAAAATCATTTAAAAAAACAAACCAACACTAGAAAATGTCCCCAAACTAAAGCAAAATATAAGATTTCAAAATTGAACAGGACCATGGGGACGTCAAGACAAAGAATGAAAAAAGGCCCACACTTTTGAAATTTTGTAACACAGTGCATCCTAAGATTTTCAAAAACATGCAGAGCCCCACAAGGGAAGTTTTGGAATGGGGGAGAAAATCTGAGACAACCTAAGACTTTGAGCATTAAAAAAAAATGAGGATAAAGTAACAG